CACACACTGTAGATTCAGCCCCCTCTGAAAAAGCCCCACCTGGGACTGCATAAGGCTTTGAGGGGACCTAGACACAAGTCATAACACAAGATCTTATTGAGTTGCCCAGGCTGGGCTTGAATATGTGCTCCTCGTGTCTTAGTCTCTGTATGTGCCACTGTACCTGGCTTATTTTTATTTTTGAGACAGGGTCTTGCTAAATTGTCGAGGTTGGACTTGAGTTTGCAGTTTTCCTGTCCTAGCCTGGGACTGTAGGCATTTCTTCTTGAATGCCTAGGATTGCAGGCAGGTTATGTCACACCCAGCTCATTAAATGTTTTCTAAATTTTGTTGTGGATCTCCCAAACAGACTTGGAAGGAGGATTTTATTTTCCCCTTTGGTACTGGTAATGGTTCTCAGTGAGCTATATCCCCAGCCCTTTTAAAAGTTTGAGACGGTCTTGCTGAGTTGCTAAATTGCCCAAGCTGGGCCAAACTTGGAATTTGCCTGCCTCAGCCTCTGAGTGTTTGGATTATAGGCATGTGCTACTATGCCCAGTTTCAAGGCACATACTTTGCAGTTTACAAATGAGGAAACTGAGGTTCTTAGAGTTTGACTTTTAAAAAAGCAGAGCTTGGATTTAGAGCCAGAAACTTCTGATTTTCAAGCCTGTTCCCTTTTCCCATGTCTTACACTGTTTTTAATTTGATCTGCAGCCTGAGGGAGGTGAGGCCTTCAGCTCACAGGCATGATTACTCTGCCTCTGTACAAGCTCAGTGGGATTGAGAGCATTGTGTAGCATGCTGTGGACTTGATTGTTTTCTCGTGATGGGAGTACGTTTACAGCAGTATGTCCACATCTTCCCAGGGCTCCTTTTGCTTCGGACAGCTCCTCCGTGAGGCTTCGGGATATTTATTGAAACACAGGTGTCAGCCAAATAACTGGCTGTTGTGTGAAGATGACTGTCATGTCCCATTTGTTTCCTTTCACATTGTGAAAGCTCTGTGTAATGGGTGTACTGATGCCAAATTCTGAGTGTTTACTTACAAAAATACATGTTACAACTCGTACTTCTAAAGTACAGTATGCTATACCTGCTGTTTGAAATTGAGCTCATCAGAGAGGGACTTGTGGGAGTATGTCTTATTATTACTAATCTCCGAAGACATTCTGAAGTTCTGTGAGATCTGGAAGTCCTGTCACACTAAAAAATTTAAAACATTTTTTAAGTCTTCTTTTGGTATTGGTAAGATACTTTCCTGGGTACTTGGAGGATTGTATTGTTTATTAATTGTATTTGGCTATATGTCCCAGAAATTGCTCCCAAGTGTACCTTAAAGAAATTAAAATTTTAATTTCTGTCCAGTGCAAGAGAAGTTTGGAGATAAGCATTTCAGCGCTGCTCAAAGTTTTTTTATTTTTTATTTTTTTGAGACAGGATCTCACTGTGTAGTGCAGGCTGGTCTTAAATTCGTTTATGTAGCACAGGCTGGCCTCAAACTCGCAATGATCCTCCTGCCTCTGCCTCTTGAGTGCTGGGATTACAGGGGTGCACCACCATGCCCAGCTTGCTCCACATTATCCTTTTAATCCTCTGTTCTGCTGTTTCTGGTTTTTTTTGAAACAAGAATCTCTCTATGTTGCTCAGGCAGGGCTCAAACCCCTAGTGTGAAGCGGCTTCCTTCCCCAGCCCTCTGAGTTGTGGGGGCTGTGGGTGTGCACCTCCGCCGCTGCCGTGCTACCGTTTCTAGCTGTCTAAGATTCTGAATCTAGGCAGAAAGGTAGAGGATAATTGGAATAAAATCAGTGTTCCACCTGGGGAAAGGACAGGGTGGATTTTAGGAGTGTGCATTTCAGGCTTTGTCATAGGGAAGTGAAGTGTGGATGTATATTTATCTTTTAATTAAGTTAATATATTTAGAAAGAAAATTCAAAATTGTAAAAGGAAGAAACTTCATATTTAAAGCCTAAAACCCTATGAAGCAAAAAAAAAAAAAAATTTTTTTTTAAAGGCAGTTTGGCTGTCCCTGTTGCCCAGGCTGGTCTTGAACTCCTGGGCTCAGCCTCCTGTGCTGCTGGGATTCTGGTGTTTGCCCCAGCATCTGGGGGTAATCTATTAATATTTTTATGTATTTCTTTTTTTAAAAAAAGCTTGTGATCAAAACTTTGCTGTTTTGTTAAACAGTTTATTTCATCAGTAAATATTTGATAACTGTTATCATCACCGCTATATGTTATATGGCCCACTTGTACTCACAATAAAAAAAGTTTATGGTACGATATTGTAAATTCTTTATAAATGTTATTATTATTATTGTATTTATTTTTGGTTTTAACTTTTGGTGGTTCAGAGGGTCAAACCTGGGACCTTGTGCATGCTAAGCACATTCTGTACTTTGAGCTAAATCTCAAACCTAAATATTACTTGAATTTTTTTCTCTTACATTTATGTTTTTGAGGAGGGTCCCACTCTGCCTTCTAGGCTGGCTTTGAACTTGGCTGTGTGGCCCAGCCTGGCCTCATGATCCTGCTACCTCAACCTCCCAAGTGTTAGGACTATAGGTGTGCACTACTATGTCCAGTAAAATATCATTTTAATGATTGTGTGATATTCTATGAAGAGGGTAAAATACGAGTAAACAAGTCTTTTTAGACATCAGATTACTGCTGATTATCTACAATTGTAAATGATTTTATGATATTAGGTTATTTAATTAGACTACTTTTTTCCTTTTTGAGAACAGGGTCTCACTGTGTGGTTCAGGTTGGTCTTGAACTCACTGTGTAGCACAGACTGGCCTTGAACTCACAGCAATCCTCCTGCCTCCGCCTCCAAGTGCTGGAATTACAGGCATGTGCCACCATGCCCAGTTTACTTAGACTGTTTTTTGATGTGGAATTAGTCAACTTTTATAATGGCTGGAACCACATTATTATCCAATGGGATTATGCAAATACTTTAGTAGGCAGTATACTGAGAATTTATATTTGTTAGTATTCTCAGTAGTATCTGGCATTAATTTTAAAAACCTTTGATAAACTGGGTGTGGTGGTGCTGGGATGTAGCTCAGTGCGGAAGTCCTAGGTTGAATCCCAATACTGTGAAACAAAATAAACCTTTGGTAATTGAGGCTGTGAGTGGGATGGCAGAATGTATTTTCTTATATAAATTTGCATTTCTTTGATTATTAGGAAATCAGAGTCCCTTAATGGGAATTTGGGGAGTGGAAGTGGGGGCGGCCAAGCTCAATCTTTATGCTTCCCAGTTTACTTAACCCATTCACCAGACATTGCAGTTTTGGTTCTTATTTTCAATGCTGCTAAAACCTGTCCGACAATGCCGGCATTGTTCTCAGACCACACCTTCAGGCACTATGCCTACCTCCGAGACAGTCTTTCTCATCTTGTTCCTGCTTTGAGGGTATGTGGGCAACATCTGTTGTCCTTGCCTTTGGGTTTTTTGATCTTCAATGCTCTGTGCTTATTAAATAGCAAAACCCAGACTGCATATTCTCTGGAAACTGATTTATTCATTCTTTCTCTCTTTAGTTCTCTCTCAGCCATTCATTTGTAGTTTTTCTCCTGTACCCTTTATTTTGGGGAGGGGGCACGACTGGGGATTGAACTCCGGGCCTAACACATGCTAGAAAAGCATTGTACCACAGAGTGACACCCCCACACCTTTTCATTTGTTTTGGTCAGGTAGGCAGTAAGTTGCCCAGGCTGGCCTTGAAATTTCTGTCTTCCTGCTTCAGTGCCCCAAGTAGCTGAGATTACAGGTATGTGCCACCACACCTGGCTGAAGACAAGGTTGAATTTCTTTTTCTTTTTTTCTCCTTTTTTTGTGGTGCTGGGGGTGTAACCCAGCCTTTGTGCATGCCTGGCAAGTGCTGTACCACTGAGCCACAGCCTTCCTTACCCCCACTTGTTCTCCGCAGCCCTTCCCTGCAGTACTGGGCACTGAACGCTGAGGTGCTTACCCCTGAGGTAAACCCCCAGCTCTTTTCTGTTTTATTTTGAGACAGGCTTGCTGGGTTGCCCAAGCAGGACTCAAACTTGTGATCCTCTTGCCTTGGCCTCCCTCAGTGCTGGGATTACAGGTGTGTGCCACTGGCCCAGCCCTCCTTTATAGTTTAAGAAAACTCAGTTTTTTACTGTCTGTGCTTTTTCACTTTCACTTCTTTTTTCTTTTCCTTCCCTCCCATTCTCTTCTCTCTCTCTCTCTTTCATTCTCCTGTCTCTCTCTTTCTCTCTCTCTCTTTCTCTGTGTCCTTTCTTCCTTCTTTCTTTTCCTTTTTGCAACATGGTCTTGTTAAGTTGCTGCCCCAGCTGGTCACTGAATAGACTATAATTATAGTAATAACAGATACTTAGGAATGCTGTGTTCTGGGCATTCCTCTAAGTCATTTGTATTAACTCATCCCTACTTTGGTAACCGCATACGATTTTAGTTACAATAATATATGTGTAGTTAGAAGGTTTAAACTTTATAGAGGATACAAAATGAAAAGTGGAATCTCTGCTCTCTTCCACTCCTCATTCTTTTTTTTTTTTTTTTCTTTTGTGGTACTGGTGACCAAACTCAGGACCTTCACACTGAACTAATACCCAGCCCTTTTATTAATAGTTTGAGACAAAGTCTTGCTGAGTTGGCCAGGCTGAGCTTGCAGTTTGAATCCTTCTGCCTCAGAATCCCAGAGTGTTGGGAATTGAGGCATGTGTGACCACACCCAGCTTTTATCCCTTTCTTGAAAGATAACTTTTTTTAATTGTAGGATAAGAAATTTATTTATTTTTGTCTTTTTGAGACAGGGTCTCACTATGCGGTTCAGGCTGGTCTTGAACTCCCTTTGTAGCCCAGGCTGGCCTTGAACTTGCAGCGATCCTCCTGCCTCAGCTTCCCAAGTGCTGGGATTACAGGTGTGTGCCACCATGCCCAGCCTAAGAATTATGTTTATATAAAAATTTTTTTTCTACTTATGGGCGCTTGGACCCAGGGAGCACTGAGCTACAGTCCACCCCTTTTCATTTGGTTTTGATATAGGTTCTGGGTAAGTTTCTCAGACTGGCCTCAGACTTGTGAACCTCTTGCTTCAGCTCCAAGGAGTATGACTTACAGGCATGTGCCACCTCACCTGGTTCATATGCAGAGTTTTTATAGCATGTGAACTTATTTGGAATAAGTCATCACTCTTTTATGAAGTGCAAGATAAAAGTTGAAATATAAATACAGCAGCTGGGTGTGGTGGTGCATGGCTGTTATATTAGCACTCGGCAGGCTGAGGCCGAAGGTTTGCTGTGAGTTAAGGCTGGTCTGGGCTACGTACTGAGACCCTGTCAGGAAGAAAAAAGATTAATTTTTATTCTCATTCTATGGTTAGCAACAGAATAGTATTACAGCTTTTTTTGTTTTTGGCAGCTGTGGCTGTGCTGAGACCATGTTTGCATTCTCACATGCTCTGTCCCTTCTCACTCCACTCTGCCTTGCCTCCCCACTGTAGTTGAGGAGAGGAGAAAGGTTATTTACAGGCCCCCGTCATGGGGTACGATGTTGGGGGTTTTACAGTTTTCCTGTTTTTTCTGTGTTATCATAAGATGGGTCCCAGAATTGAATGGCACTGTCATCCCACTATATTTGCTTAGTTACCAGGGAGAAAACTAGTGTCATCTGCCGTCTCCCCCAACATCGTACCCCATGAGGATCCATCCCAGCAGTTCCTGCAGCAGAGCCTTGAAAGAGTATACAGTCTTCAGCACCTGGACCCACAGGGAGCCCAGGAACTGCTAGAGTTCACCATCAGGTAAGACGGTTTCTGCCTTCTCAGGTAAGTCAAGAGGTCATTATGCTTAGTCTGATTGCTTTGTATTCCGATATTGATTATTAGGCTTTACCTTCTGACTCTGTTGGCGTGTACTCTCATGTAGTTTTATGGTGTTTGTATTTTTTTTTTCTATTGTGATTTGAGCTTATTTTTTGAAAATGTTGTTTGTGCTGGGCATGGTGGATTGCTAGTTGGAGCCCAGCCTGGGTTACACCTGTAATCCAGCTCTGTGGGAGGCTGAGGCAGGAGGATTGCAAGTTGGAGCCCAGCCTGGGTAGCTTAGCTCACATTGACCTTGAATTTGTGATCCTCCTTCCTTGCCCTTCTGGATAGCTGGGATTACAGGTGTTCACCACCATGCCCCGTCTAGGCCGATTCTTTTTTAAATTTTCGTTATCCTTGAGATTAAACCCAGGGCCTTGTGCATGCCAGGCAAGTATATCTCTGAGCTGCATCCCCAAACTATATCCAGGAACAGTCTTTGTCTCCATCTTCTGCATTAAGCAACTTCTTTTTTTTTTTTGCAAACTTCTAACCGTCCAAAACCTTAACTATCTCCTCTGTGTTTTTTTTTTTTTTTTTTTTTTTTTTGTCTTTTTGAGACGGGATCTCGCTATGCAGTTCAGGCTGGCCTTGAGCTCACTTTGTAGCCCAGGCTGGTATCGAACTTGCAAAGATCTTCCTGCCTCAGCCTCCCGAGTGCTGGGATTATAGGCGTGCTCCACCACACCTGGCTCCCCTCTATATTCTTGCCTGTGGGAAAAAGAAAAGGAGGGCATCATTGCCACCTTTACCTCCTTTTAAAGATACCTCCCCAAAGTTGCACACTCTAGTGGTTCTACTTGCACCCCATAACTGGAGTTTAAGTCAAACGGCCATGTCTAGCCTCAGGAAGCTAGGAAATGCAGTCTTTATTTTTTATGACTCATGCCTAGTTAGCCTTTGACAACTCTATTCCTGGGGAAGAAGGGGAGAAAAGGAATTGAGGAGTAACCAACAGGGTCTGTGCGCCTGTTGTAATAGCGGTTACTGTGCTCTGTCAGACCGTATTAAAATAGCCTGAATGATGAAAACAGTTGAAACCGTTTGCCTTTAATAAAAGCAGCATTGTTTGCTCTTACAGCAGCAGAGTTGAGTAGCTGCTGCAGAGACGGTATGCTTGCAAAGCCTAAATATTTCCTTTCTGACCTTCTATAGAAAGCTTGCTAACCTTGCTGCGTGCTATGGGTAGTGCATGCTACATAAGCCGAGGTCTCAGACCTTTCTATGACTTTTCTGAAGTGATTTCTCAATCACAGTTTGTTCTCTTCTTCACAATAGTGTTTAATTTTGGAGGCTCCTAAATGAGGTTGTTGGCCCTTAGCTCAGGAACATAAGCTGTACTTCCTGAATCACCCATCTAAATGTACATTCAAGTTTCGCTGTTGGCAGTTGTATTGTGTTGGCACTAAAACAAGTACAAAATGTATAAAAGGAAGCTAATTTGATCGTTAGCTGCAGAGCTGGCTGTTAGTAGGTGCTCAGTAAACACTTGCTGGTGTCAGTTGCTTTCGTGCTGCTGTCTCTAATGAGGTAGTAGTGCTGCTGGGCTTCGGCTGGCAAAACCGCTATTACAATGCAGTGGCAAGGCCTGGCTAGTCTTCCTAGCCTGAGTGTATTCTTAGGAGTGTGATCAGTATGATGAAAAACCTAGAAAGGAAACCTGATAGAGCAGTAGCTATTGAGGGCCTACTGTGCTTTACAAATATTACTTCAAATATGAAGCAATTTGTAGAAAGTGGCAAAAACTGGGTTTGCATCTAGCTTTGTCTGACTGTAAAATTGATACTTTGTGATAAGCAACAGTGAAAGTCATTCCTGAATCAAGTGAAGATTAGATCAGATCATCTCTGGGGTGCTTCATAAATTACTGTTTCTGTAGTTGTTGGAAAGTAATATATTAGGTGCAGTTCCATGCAGAACATTGTCTGATTATGACCAGGCCGTGTATTTGTTAGTGTTTGTGTAAAACCTACTTCAAATATTCATTGCCCTTCATTGTCGTCCAAGTAGCCATTTAACCCAACCAAGTCTTACCAATGCAGAGTCTTCCATCCTTCAGTAAGGGCTCTGGAAAAGAACGTTTGGTTTGGTTTTGTTTCTGGAACTTGACATAACTGCATTGCCTTCTCTACTGTAGCCTGGATATTTTTTAGAGGCTCTGTAAATATTTGTTGAATGCTGTCATTTTCATAGCTTAACCAGTATTGAACTTTTTTCTTTTTTTTGGTACCAGGAATCAAACTCAGGACCTTGCACTTGCCAGGCCGGCACTGTGCCGCTGAGCTATCTCCCTGGCAGGGGTGAACTTTTAAGACTTATGGATGGCAGTTTCTTCTGAGCATACTTCATCTCTAGCTGTATAGATTTGATGTTTTATAAGGCTCTACTTTTTTCTCATTGCTGAGACAAAATACCCAACACCCAAACTTAAGGAAGGGAAGGTTTATTTAGCTCACAGTTTTTGGAGGTTGCAGTCCATAATATCCCCACTTCTGTCTTAGCTATTAAATTCTCATGTCATGGCAGCCGAGAAGCAGAGAGAAAGAAGGAGCCAGGGAAGAGGTATCCCCTTCTAGGTCACTGCCTCTTATGACCAGACCCTACTTCCTAACAGCAATTTAGTTATAGCACTCCCATGATTCAGTAACCTTTCAGAAGCCCCACCTATGAGTGCATGAGGTTGGGGTGGGGAACGTCTAGATATAAAGCATAACAAATAGTAAACAGTTCAGGCTTCTTATAGCCTAGTGAGAGAGATAGGTAGGAAAACAGGAAACACAGAATTGTGTGTATGTGCCACAGTACAGTAAGCCTGGGGCTTTTCAGAAGCATAGAGGGGGCACCTCATCCTTTAGATTGTAAGTGATGACTTGAAGAATGGTAGCCAAGTAAAGAAGGGAGAAGAGTTTATGAAGGATGGGGAATACCAAAGGCCTGGACTAGAACATCGGGCTTTCTAGCCTTCCATTGGGTTAATAATTTGTACGAAGTAAAACATGTAGCACTGTATAATGCGATTTGAAATCCAAAGGACTAGTTCAAGTCTTAGTTTTATTAAGTCCTCTTGGGTCATCAACTCTCATTTGTACGCTAATGGTGCTGTGTAGCTACATTGTAGGACTGTTGTGTGGTTTCTTGTAAGGATACACGTGAGAGCAGTTTGAGAATAGCAGTTGTGTAGGTACTCGTTGGACACTTGAAAATTTAAATCTGTGCTTCTTCTAATACAGTGGCCATGCTCTTACTATTTGCAGGTAAATCCAATCCAAATTATAAAACTGTAAGCATGTTTTACATTCACTGAGAGTGAGGGGATTGTCATTTAAGAAATCCTGTAGTCATCTCTCTGCTTTTTCACAGAATAATGATTGATCTCTGATTTCTCAGAATTTAGATTTTTGTGTAAGTCTGTGCTGTTACTGGAAATATACATTGTTGTTTCAGGAACTATATCACTTTAGAATTGATTGATAACAGTTATAATTTTATAGTGAAATAGTTCATTTTAGTCTGAAACAGATGGAACTTCATTTATCCGGGATCAGTAGAAATACACTTTTTCTCTTTGGGAATTCTTTCATATACCACCCCTAAACAATGGGGTTTCATGGGTGAATCTGTTAAAATCTTCCCTTTGCTGTGCAACTGTTACTGTTTTTAAAGAATACTACCTGTTTTGTAGTCTGGGCACTAGTCTACTAATTGAGGAGTAGAAATACTTGATTGTAATCTATAGTCATCCAGGTGCAGGGGTGAAGATAGGTTTTTTTGGGTTTTTTTTGGTTGTTGTTTTGTTTTTCTGGTACCAGGGATCAAACTCATGACCTTGTGCTTGCCGGGCAGGTGCTGTGCCGCTGAGCTAAATCCCCAGCCCAGAAGATAGGTTTTGAAGAGTCACTAGGACTTCGATTGTATTTTGCGCTTTCTAATATTCCTTGTTCTAGCAGGCTACTAAGGGCCATTAGTTGTGACTTTGATGTGGAGAGCCTGGAAGAGGTTGAAAGAAATGTGCAGCCATAAGCGTTTGGTTCATACATCCAGAGTCTTTCTTGGCTGTCTGTAGCAGTGAGTTAAGAAATGAACTATTGTGTAAATTAACAATCAGCTTATTGTGTAAATTTAAAAAAAAAAAAATCACCATATATAAACTTGTTTACTTCTGATATTTTAGAAATACTATTTATTGACATCAGGGATTAAAAATCACTAAAGTGAGTGTTTCTGTGAAGGTCTCTTTTGTGTTGCCAGATCACATCCCTAGAAATGTTTTGCTGTATTTGGCTTTGAGTCAGATTTATCTCATGTGCATTTGAGCTATTTTGTAAATAAACAGAAAGTTTGACAGCAAATAAATGAGATATAATATGGTATGTGTTTAAAAAAAGACTTGAGTCAAGGCAGACTTAGGCTCATGTCCTGTTTTTGCTGTTTATTAATTCTGTGACCTTGAGCAAACCACTTAAATACTGCTCTTTAATTTCATGCTCAGTGAGTGGGATTAATTGCAGTTCATATTGTAAGGTTTAAATGAGCTCAAGAAAAGAAACACCTAGCATAGTACAGTGCACATGGAAGGTGCTCTTCGTACCCTTCTCGCTGAAGAGTTCATTGTCTTTTGATGGATGTCTAGACTGAGGCTTCCCGAGGATGGTGGGCATAAAAAAGGTACAGAGAAGAAACACTGGGACACAGAGGATCTTCGCCAGGGCTAGCAAGTTGCCATTTTTCTTTGCATAGTAGTTCAGATTTCCCACACCTAATTGGGTTAGGTTGCATCTGGATTTTGTGAAGCTAACTGTTGTTGCAATCTAGGGGCAGTAGAATAACCTAACACCTAGAAACAGTTAATGCATTACCAGCAGGTCAGTGTTCTCTATAATTGTAACAGAAGGCAGAATCTTCTTGAAGAGGAAATGCCTCAGAAATAGAATGGTTCCTGGGTGTTTCTTGCAAGAGTGGTAAGGGAAAAGTGGAAGGGGAAACCAGCTGGTCACCAAAATTGCACTTCACAGGTGTGATTAGCTCATCCAGGTTATGGCTTTTCATTGTGCTGGGCTCCCATGCCTGAGCAGGCTGTCCTGGACCAACTCAAGACTGTCCAACTCAAAAGAGATGTCTGTATACCATAGACACTGATTTCTTCAGTGAGACTGGGGATAATTCACCTTGTGTCCCTTTGCAGGGCATCTTCTTTCTGGGGTCAAGTTCCCTAATTATTATGAAGTTGCCCACTCAGCGTGAGGTTAGATAGAGTGGCTTAATCCAGTGGAATCTTTGTGCGTAGGTTACTGTGAAACCTGAATATTATGCCTGTAACAATCAACTTACCCACTGACTCAGACCTTGAGGTTTCTGGCAGTTGCTGTTTCTATGTAGAATTTTGATGTTGCTGCAAAAAAGAACGAGCCTATGATGGATTATTAGGTAACACACAACTACCCTACTCCTTGCCAAAAAGAAAAAAAAAATGGAATGAACAAAAGCAAACCACCGGGTGTAGTGGCGCACGCCTGTAATCCTAGCACTCGGGAGGCTGAGGCAGGAGGATTGTTGAGAGTTCAAGGCCAGCCTGGGCTACAAAGTGAATTCAAGGCCAGCCTGAACTGCATAGTAAGACCCTGTCTCAAAAAAAAAAAAGAAGCAAACCAGTATTTTTTGTTAATACACAGCATATCTAGAAGAATTAAAAAGAAACTTGTCATAGTGGTTTTCTCTGTGAACATGTACAAGGTAGGAGGATGAAAGGCACAGGTATAGGAAGGGGTACTAAGGGAGTTGTGTAAGCTGTAGGGTCTTTTAAATTCTAGGCCTAGATCTGCATTATGTATTAAAAAACTAAATGTTTTAAATCACCAATAATCTCAGCTCCCAGCACTGTTTTGTGTGCTACTTTCTAATTTCTTGTCCACAGGTAGTTTTTTTTTGTTTTTTGAGATGGGAATCTTACTGTGTTGTTCACACTCAGCAAAATACAGTTGCAGTCATTGTGTCTATACTTATATCCAGTTAGGATGTTTCAGATTCCAGATAAGAGAAAACCTTATCTAAAACTAGATTACACTGGCTATTTTTTTTTTTTTTTTTTTTTTGAGACAGGGTCTTATCGTTCAGTTTAAGATGGCCTTGAACTGACTTTCTAGCCCAGGCTGGCTTCAAACTCACTGTGATCTTCCTGCCTCAGCCTCCCGAGTACTGGGATTGCAGGCATATACCACCATGTCCAGCATTACAGTGGCTATTTATATCCTGTTATGATCTAAATGTTTATGTCCTCCCAAAATTTGTATGTTGAGTTCTAACCCCCAAGGTCATGTTAATAGGAAATAAGCCCTTTGAGATGTAACTGAGTCATGAGGATAAAGCCCTCATGAATGAGAGTAGTTCCTATGACAGAGGCCTACAGGAACTTGTTCATTCTTTTCACTATATGAAGACAAAGCTAGAGAAGCTATTGTCTCTGAGGAAGCCAGCCTTCACCAGACACCAAATCTCCAGGCACTTTGATCGTGGACTTCCTAGTCCCCAGAACTGTGAGAAATAGTTTTTTATTGTGTATAAGGTACTGAGTCTATGGTATTTTGCTATAGCAGCCCCAGTGGACTTAGATTTTTCCTTACATGACCAGAGATTGAAGACATGGTATGACCCAGCTTATTTATAGCATTGTGAACCCACTGTCTGTCTCTTTGGATTAGTCTTGTCCTAAGCATTGGCTTTATCCTTTAATTTAATTCTTATTCAGTTATAGTGTGGCCAGCAGGGGCAGTGGAGCCATGAGTGTTCTTCCCTAGTCTAGTAAGAGACAGACAAAGGAGAGAGGCAAACCAGTGTTTTCCAGCATGGACTGTAAGGCCTTCCATTGGACCGGTAAGGCCAACTTAGGCCACATCACCAGAGGGATATACATTCATTAGCCTTGTTGGATCAGGCTCTACCTGGAATTGAGTCTGGAGACATGTTTCTTTGAACAGAATAGGGTTCAGTTAGTAATGAAGAAATTGGAAGTGGCTAACTCACTAGGCAACCAACAGTGTCCACTGCGGTACCTTTGAAAAAATATTTTTTCTTTTCTTTTTTGGTGGCATTGGGGAGTGAACCCAGGACCTTCACACTGAACTACACCCTCAGCCTTTAAAATTTTTCATTTAATTAATTAATTAACTTTACACTTTTTTTTTGGGTACTGGGAATGGAACTCAGGACCTTGCACTTGCCAGGGAGCAGGTGCTGTGCTGCTGAGCTACATCCCCAGCCTCAACTTTAGATTTTTGAGATAGTGTCTTACTGTGCAGTTCAGACTGGCTTTAAACTCATTATAGTCGCCCAGGCTGGTCTTGAACTCATGGGTATCCTTCTGCTTCAGCTTCCTAACTGCTGGGATTACAGGTACGGACTACCATGTATGGTGAATTTTTTTTATTTTGAGACAGTGTCATTAAGTTGTTAAATTGTCCAGGCTGGGCTCAAACTTAGAATCTTGCCTTACCCTCCCAGAGTGCTGGGATCACAGGCGTGTGCCACCATGCTTGGCTGAAAATACTGCTTTCTGATAGGAAAAACTCGGTTGTATGGCATAGTTGGGAGAAGGCACTGAGCAGCACTGCACTGTCATTATCTAGAAAACCATTTCACACTGTGTTTTCTCCAGTGTCTATTTGTTCCTCAGTTGAGATCATATACCTTACCTTTTAATTTGTATTTTAGTAACTGCAGTATAGTGTATTGACTGAATCTACCATAATTTATTTAGCAGTTCCTCTACTATTGCATATTTAAGGAGATACTGAGGTGTTTTTTTCTTTTTGGTGGTGGTATTCGGGATTGACCCCCAGGCCTTTCCACTGAGCTACAATTGCAGTCCATTAAACATAATTTTTAAATTTAACTAAAATGTTTTTATTATTTTATGGAAAAAAAAATATTTCATAACAAAATAGGGGAGTAACAATAGTTAATACATTGCATATTGTTATCTTCAAAATAGAGTACAAGATGTGGGCATAAAAAATTCTCCAAATGATATTAGCACAAACTTTTCTTTTCAAAGTGGTCTTGCTAAGTCACTTAGTTGCCCAGGCTGGGCTCAAACTTGTGATCCTCCTGCCTCGACCTCTCAGAGTGCTAGGATTACAGGCCTGTGACACCAGTCATGGTTTACACAACAGTGACTGTTATGGGGCTTAAAGCAGTTCATTTCTGTTGAATACTTCCCTTAGGATCACTCCTCAGCATAAAACTTCAGATGAAAGTTTTTTACTATGTATGTAGCTTTATAACAGTGTTCCTTTCCGGAAGAGTATCAGCTTACACCACTGTCAAAGTGTGATGAACCAACTGAATTATAACCACTCCAGTATTTAGTGTGGTCAGTAAAACCTATGACCAGTTTGCAGGGCATAAAATGGTAAAATGGTTTTGACTTCATCTTCATGTTGACATTATCCTTACCTCGTGTTTGGCTTGGGGTTTTATTTAATGTAGGGATCTGCAAAGACTTGGAGAACTTCAGTCTGAATTGGCAGGAGTAGCTGACTTCTCCGCCACCTATCTTCGCTGTCAACTGCTTCTCATCAAGGTTGGTTTATATCCACTATCTCTATTTTTATGATACTTGGAATACACTTTACTGATCCAGTCGTGTTTCAGTTCACTGTGGAAAAACTTACTGTTCTGGGTAACCACTTAATAATGGAGAAATTATATACTCTGTAATGTGTTTGTTTTTTTTTTGGGGGGGTTTTTCTCCGGTACCGGGAACCGAACTCACGACCTTGCACTTGCCAGGCAGGCGCTTTTGCCACTGAGCTAAATCCCCAGCCCCTATACTCTGTAATGTGATTGTATTTGTCTCTAATTAAAGTAACATTAACTCTTAGGAATTTGTAAGTTTTAAGAGAATAATTTCATAATTATATAATTAGAGCAGATTGAACAATCATTGTTACTAGAATTCCAAGGATATTATTTTACTTTTTAAATAATTAAGTTTATTGGCACATTTTATTGTTTTGTTTTGTTTTGTTTTGTTTTTTTGGTTTTTCTCCGGTACCAGGAACCGAACTCATGACCTTGCGCTTGCCATGCAGGCGCTTTTGCCGCTGAGCTAAATCCCCAGCCCCTTATTGGCACATTTTAGATATACCTAATGATTGCATTGAGAATTTGTACCTGTACATGGTATAACTTGATGCTTTTTTCCCCTTCTCCTACCCTCCCCCAACCTCTCTTCCCCGCCTTATTTACAAAAGTTTTGTTTGCATTTTTTCCTTATCTCTCTTTTTCTTTTCCCTTTTTCCTATCCCCCTCCCCCCTCCCTTGTTCCCCTTCCCATTTGAACATTTTCTTCTTATTTCACAATACCTATTGTACATTTTGGTCCATATTTACACTTTCAGTTTCTCACACCAGAGAAACAATGCAATATTTACACATTTGTGTTTGATTTATTTCACTTAAGAGTATGGTCTCAAGGTGCATCCATTTACCTAGAAATGTCTCATGTTTATCCTTCGTTACGGCTGAAAAGTACTCCATTGTATAAAAATTCCACATCTTCTTTATCCATTCATTGGTTGATGGACATTTGGACTGTTTCCAAGATTTAGCTATTACAAATTGTGCCACTATAAACGTGGGTGTGTCTATATCATTGTGGTATGATGCTTTTAATTCTTTTGGGAAGATACTAAGAAGGGGAATAGATGGTTGAATGGAACTTCTAGTTTTAGTTTTTTGAAGAATCTCCACAGTGATTTATTACACAGTGGTTGCACCAGTCT